CGTGACGTCACACCCGCAGATTTATTCATAAAATGGTATTCAGGTTCTCCACTTACCGGAACTGAAGATACATCGCACAAATGTTTATCTGAATATTAATTTCAACCATAGATTGCGAGGGACAAACGTCTGCCTGGTTGTACTCTGTTCATCTGGTTCTATCATATATTTTAAATCATTGATTTCTAATTTGAAATCCATACATTTTGATTGAATTAAATTGCTGTCGAAAATTAACATTTTGAACAATCATTTGTCTGTTAGATTATTCTGTCTTTGTCGTTCAACTTTTTTAAATTATGAAGGTATAGATGTGAAATTCAGAGAATTGACTATTCAATTTACGTAAATTTTGAAATAAAAATATTACGAACTTGCTTTATTAACTCGAAATAAATTTGGCTTTCATGTGATATACTTTTCGTTGTTTTCACGTATTCTATGTTTATGGAAGGAATCAGGTTGAGCAAGAAATAATTTCGGCATTTGATTGAGATAACTCATTACATGATATTACAGCTGAAAACATGTCTTTTCACCATGATTAGATAAATGGAAATGTGATCAATATTTGTTTATTCTTTGCGGGAAAGTTTAATACATCGCCACGAGAGGAATCTTATGGCAGGATATCACCAACTATAGGCGAGTAAAAGGTTAGTGCGCCCATGCAAGCTTGAGTTGGCTCGAATCTTTTGTATCCAACCTTTCTACCCTGGCAGACCGCTAAAATTAAATATAATGTACTCGCGGACCGACAAAACAGATTTGCGGACCGATACCGGTCCGCGGACCAGCGGTTGGGAACCCCTGGACTAGAAGAGCGATATACCAATAGTCAAGTTTTGGAACCGAAATAGAAAGCAAAATCACGTAAATGGAACTTGTTGTATAATTTTAATGAACGCTCAATATTTTGATTTAATTAAATAGTGAGCAATCATATCGATTCAGCAGTCAATGGTAGCAGTTACTCTCATTTTAGAAATATTGACATATTCATTGAAAGGTTGGTACAAAGCATGATAACGTCTTGGGTTAAAGATTTCGAGGCGACAGACCTACCAGGATGTGACAAATTCTGTAATATATCCCTGCATGGTTCTTACGTAAATTACATTCGCAAGAGTGAGAGCGTGTCATAGATCCGTATTCAAAGTCAACGTATAATAATTGTCTACTAACCTAAGACAAACAAAGTAATTTGTTCTTCATAAAACGGAAGACTTGTAATTGTCGAAGATAGAAAGGCAGGGGAAGATAGGTCAGTGGGGCGAGAATAGAAAGTCTGAGGGAAATAGGGCAGTGGGTCGAAGGCAGAGGGAGATAGGGCAGTGGGTCGATGATACAAAAGCTGAGCGGGATAGGGATGTGGGTCGAAGACAGAGGGAGATAGGGCAGTGAGTCGAAGACAGAAAAGCAGAGGGGAACAGGGCAGTGCGTCAAAGACAGAGGTGGATAGGGCAGTGGATCGAAGGCAGAGGGGGATAGGGCAGTGGGTCAAAGACAGAGGGAGATAGGGTAGTGGGTCGAACATAGGAATTCAGAGGGTCGAAGATAGGGAGACTGAGGGAGATAGGGTAGAGAGTCAGAGGGAGATCGGGCAGTGGGTCGAAGACAGAGGGAGGTAGGGCAGTGGGTCGTAGACAGAAAGGCAGAGGGAGATAGGGCAGTGGTTCGAAGACAGAGCGAGATAGGGCAGTGAGTCAAAGACAGAAAAGCAGAGGGGGATAGGGCAGTGGGTCAAAGACAGAAAGGCAGAGGGGGATAGGTCAGTAGGTAGAAGGCAGAGGGGGATAGGGCAGTGGGTCAAAGGCAGAGGGGGATAGGGCAGTTGATCGAAGACAGAAAGGCAGAGGGAGATAGGGCAGTGGGTCAAAGACAGAAAAACAGAGGGGAATAGGGCAGTGGGTCAAAGGCAGAGGGAGGTAGGGCAGTTGATCGAAGACAGAAAGGCAGAGTGAGCTGGGCAGTTGGTCGATGATACAAAAGCTGAGGGGGATAGGGCAGTGGGTCGAAGACAGAGGAAGATAGGGCAGTGAGTCAAAGACAGAAAAGAAGAGGGGGATAGGGCAGTGGGTCAAAGACAGAGAGGGAGATAGGGCAGTGGGTCGAAAACACAGGGAGATAGGGCAGTGGGTCGTAGACAGAAAGGCAGAGGGATGTAGGACAGTGGATCGAAGACAGAAAGGCAGAGTGAGCTGGGCAGTGGGTCGATGATACAAAAGCTGAGGGGGATAGGGCAGTGGGTCGAAGACAGAGGAAGATAGGGCAGTGAGTCAAAGACAGAAAAGAAGAGGGGGATAGGGCAGTGGGTCAAAGACAGAGGGAGATATGGTAGTAAGTCGATGATAAAAAGGCTGTGTGGGATAGGGCAGTTGGTCGAAGACAGAGAGGGAGATAGGGCAGTGGGTCGAGCATAGGAATTCAGAGGGTCGAAGAAAGGAAGACCGAGGGAGATAGGGTAGTGAGTCAGAGGGAGATAGGGCAGTGGGTCGAAAACACAGGGAGATAGGGCAGTGGGTCGTAGACAGAAAGGCAGAGGGATGTAGGGCAGTGGATCGAAGACAGAAAGGCAGAGGGAGATAGGGCAGTGGGTCGAAGACAGAGGGAGATAGGGCAGTGAGTCAAAGATAGTAAAGCAGAGGGGGGACAGGGCAGTGGGTCAAAGACAGAGGGAGATAGGGTAGTAAGTCGATAATAAAAGAGCTGTGAGGGATAGGACAGTTGGTCGAAGACAGAAAGGCAGAGGGAGATAGGGCAGTGGGTCGACCATAGGAATTCAGAGAGTTGAAGATAGGAAGACCGAGAGATATAGGGAAGTGGGTCAAAGACAGAAAGAGATACGGCAGTGGGTCGAAGATAGAGGGAGATAGGGCAGTAAGTGGATGATAAAAGGCTGGGTGGGATAGGGCAGTTGGTCGAAGACAGAAAGGCAGAGGGAGATAGAGCAGTGGGTCGAAGACAGAGGGAGATAGGGCAGTGAGTCGATGATAAAAAAAAGCTGAGTGGGATAGGGCAGTTGGTCGAAGACAGAGAGAGATAGGGCAGTAAGTCGATGAAAATAAAAAAGCTGAGTGGGATAGGGCAGTTGGTCGAAGACAGAAAAGCAGAGGGAGATAGGGCAGTGGGTCGATCATAGGAATATAGAGCTCGGTGGGATAGGGCAGTTGGTCGAGCATAGAAATCCAGAGGTTCGAAGATAAGAAGACCGAGGGAGATAGGGTAGTGGGTCAAAGACAGCGGGAGATAGAGCAGTGGGTCGAAGGCAGAGGAAGATAGGGCAGTAGGTCGATGATAGCAAAGCTGGGGAGGATAGAGTAGTGGGTCGAGCATAAGCATCCAGAGGGTCGAAGATAGGAAGACAGAAGGAAATAGAGCATTGGGTCGAGAATAGGGAAATGAGTCGGTCGAAGATAGGAAATATGGCAGTGGGTCGAGGATTGGAAGTTGTTCACTAATTAATATTCCTAATTCCTATGTAGTTAGAAATAGATTACGTGCACGACAAAATATATTTATTATAAATTCATGAATATGCCTCGTCATGAGTTACATTTCTTGTTTATTTTAATCTCGGCATAGTGCGATAATTCGTCGATGCTAATATAATTTCGAGAGACACCAATAGAACTCATCCGTATATCTCGCTATCCAATTTATTTCTTGTTTATACGTATCCAGCCATAACTGCTTTTGCAATACAATCACTAGGACTTGAGAGGTGAATTGTGAATGAAAACGAGTTTTTGACAGACATGCGTGGTCAATTGTTTTTAATAATAAAAATACGAAGCACTTTTCAAACTAGCATTTCCTGCTGAACTTTAGAAAATACGTCACTGAAATGCGATGGAAAAAAACACGCCTTAAACTATTCTATTGTAGTAAAATTGCACACACTAAACCACGTGTAGTCAAATAAATTTGCCCTCCACCGAGCAAATTAAGAGACGAATCCGATAAGACCAACATTTTGTTTGCGACTCCAGTATTAATTCGAATTTGTGTTGAACACCAAGAAAACCGAGAGGTTGAAACAAAAAATTTTGAAATTGGAATTTTCATGAAATTTAATGTCTGCTTAAGCAGTATTCGCTATTCTCTCATTGACTTACAAATACTTTTAATAGCTGTTGAATTTTAATATATTATAAATTCATTGCGATTTTTTTTAAAATAGAATATTGCAAAATAAAGTAAAATTACATTCGCGATGTCATTGTTTATCCACATATCACCACTGAACGCAACATCGCTAATCCGATTAAGATCTGAAACTACGTCACGAACTCTGCGGGTATGCTTCTATATATATCCGAATGCGTTAAATTTTTAGGCATAAAAATCGAGGCGAAGAAAACATATTAATATAGTTTGATATCGATTGCATAGAGGCGAGTAGCTGATAAGATAGTTAGTTAAGTTTCAAAGAAAGGGTTTGAACTTGGTAATTTCTAGGCGTGATTTAATACGGTAAGACATTTCTAAGAGTAGAATCGTTGCTGCTGAAGTCGTTTTGGCTGCTTTCGAAGAATTAAAGACCAAAGTATCTCTCTATATATACTATAAGTATATATATATATATATATATATGATATAGCAAGAATGTGAGACGAGAAGAATAGTCAAACTTGGTTGAAAAGTCAGACCAAAACTTTAAAAATAGCGTCAGGTAAGAATTAGTAAAATTATACTTTCTGGTCTTATGTTGCGTTTGCCTCAGGCGATGAAGTCAAACGAAACGATCGGCGTCGCAGTGTATGGCAGAGATAGACGCCTTTTTTAATTTATCATTGCTGACATAACCTGGACTATAAAGGGTCAGGGCCGGTCCATAACTATACCGGGACGGCCTGTGCGATATGGATTGTCTAAATACAAAATCGTAGAGTCTATATATATAGTAATGACACGTTGAAATATATGAATATAATTTATAATAAGTAAATTTGATAAATACAACTCGAATTAGCGCGTAGGCCATGGCTCACTGTGGACGCGTAAATTTAGGCAGTTGATTACAAATATTAGTTTCTAATGCTTACGCACACTGGAAGAGATTAATAAGTAATTAGACGAAAAACCAATCTAATCAACTCATCTACTATCCATGAATTTTAAGACAACCTAATTGTAGTGGGTAACGTCATATAATACAGTAGCAAGATCCTAGTTTGAACAAGATCTTCAGCATTTCCAACATATTTTGTTTTATGTTGACAAACAACTTTTGTCCGTTGGTATATTTGACCTTGAATTGAACGCGAAAAACTTTTCTTAATTCAGTTATAACGTAATTACCCTAAAATCTCGAGATGAAAATCTCAATCGTTTTTATCTTCATCTACGTCATCGCTTCATCCTGGTGTCAAGATGAAACAGTGTTTCACTGCTCTCCCAAGCCTGGTTGCCAGATTGCACAGTGTGATCCGGTTGCTGTAGGATGGGACAGACCAGGCTTCAACATTGATGAACATCTGCATTATAAGGAGTTTCCAATTACGTGCAAATCTATGAATAACACGAAATCAAAGAATACTGGCAACTTGCTTCCTGTCGTAACTCGAAATATTTTAGGTAAGTGTCAACTGTTGAACATAACATGGATTACCGGAGTTGGTGTTGGCGGAGAAACAAATTGATTAGGCTCGCTTCCCTCCTACTCCTCATGCTCGCCATATATTACTATATCTACGCTAACCCAAAGCATAGCATCGGATGGTCTTTAAATATCATAATTCCATACAGTCTCCTGACATTCAGTGGTCGCCGTAACTTTACTCAGAAATGAATTTCCTTTACTACTGACTTGGTGCCCGTAATGCACCGACGTTATCACATAGCGTTCCTATAGCAACTAGCATTTCAGCGGTCGCCGTGATTTTGCCTAGAGTGTTTATTAAAATGATTTCTATTCAACTCGTATGTATTTTTCTGCTCAGGTATAAGAAATATCAAATCAGAATTAGAGGAATTAAAAGATGACTTTGGAAGAGCAAATTCTGGTCAGTATACTTTACGAAACAATTCATTTTTGATTTTGTTCCCAACCATTGCCAAAATATCTAATACGCAAACTATACGGCCACAAGCGTTCTTATAAATGAAAATTTAGTACACGGATTCAAGCAGAACTAATATCAATTGTTGGATAAATACGACGATACTTAATGACTATCAAAATGTTATTTCGTGAAAAGGTAATGATGAAAACTGAAACTATATTATTTTCTGCCAGAAATCCGAAAAAATCGTAATAAAATTGCGGAACTATCAAACGAAATCACGGATTTCCGTAACAGTACTCTTCAGCAATCTCGTCAAATTGAAACTCTACTGAAGGAAAACACAGAGCAAAACTTTGTGATCAATGAATTGAAGAAAGGTTAGTGTATGTTACTGTGATTGATATTTGACTTCAAATCCTGTGATCTACGTCGTTCCGGAAAGATTCTGTTATTCCAAAAAGCAGCTTCAGTGTGGCTTAATGGGCACAAATTGGACCTGTGAATCGTTTTCTTGCTATGTTAATTTTTTCTTGTTATTGTTGTGAAAAAAATAAAACGATTTTTATTTAACTACTGGATCAATTGATACAAAAGGTTCAGTAGTTGAAGGTTGTTGATATTGCCAGTTGGCTATCACTTTTGTTATTTTGAATATGTCAGTGTGTTGTATAGAATTTGTTCCCCGAAATGAAGAAACAAGTTCCTCCGGTACATATTCTAGAGACAGCACAACTTTTGTACAAAGCGTTTCAAATAACTGAAATTTTTTGGTACAATCAGACATTTTTCAGTTGGATAGTTTTATTGTAGTAATTAATAGTTAATACCAAAACGAGAATATCGGTCAGAGACCGAAGACTTATCGATCGAAAGTTAAGGGATCCCCCGAAACAGCGCTCTTACTCCATAGTGACACCTTGTGTCCCATCACTAATTAATTAATAACTCGTTAATTATACGACTTAATTGGCCCAAAATCAATGGACTTTTGGTCCGAGATATGATAAACGGACATGCAAAATCTGGAGCAGATTCAATCTCGCTTCCATAAGATATCTAACGTGTGCATCTAACAGACAGACAGACAGACAAATACCTATCAACATACTTACCGATTAAAATCGATAAGTAACAAGCTGTGATAGACCAGGCAGGCTGTCCCATAAATTTTATACATTTTATATCCATGAATCGATATTGCATCTCTAACAACTCTACGATCCACCATTATCATTCATTTATTATTAAGCAGCATTGTCAACTTTCAAAACAGCATCATGATGTTTTTATAGATTTGATTGAAGTTCAAGACAAGAATGATAAGTTGGAGAAAACATTGAATAAACAACAGAAAACAAATAATGAGATCAAGAAAGGTAACAGCTGTCACTTTGTATTTTTGAAGCATTCCTTGCCGTCGTATAACCGTTGAAATTACAAAATATGTCCTATATTAATCTGAATATTGTTATATTGATCTGGTTATATCCCGAATTGAACAAAAACCTGCTGTAACAGGGAAGCTTTAATTCTTTCGACGAAAAATGAGTTTAAATATAAAGCTAGCGTTATATGATAAGTTGATCCGGGTCATGTTAGGTACTGTATATGAAAGTTATCATAGATAGAATCTAAAATCTTATGCCATTTTCGTCAAGTTGGCCACAAGTTCAGTTGCAACCAAGTTGGCCATTCTGCCATTGACAACATTTTTTTTGGTAATGCTGGAAATAGACTCTTATGTATATTCGTCTATTCAGCAATGGAGCAGATCGAACAAAAACTTACTGCATTGGAAAAGTCTCAAAAGGTTCAATCTGGAAACCGAAAGAGACCGACGACAACAACCAAAACAACATTGAAACCGACTCCTTCCCCAGGTAAACTTATATGGTCAATGACAAAATGAATTGATCTCATTCTGGTGTAGACATATGGTGTCGAAATTTGGAATGTTTCCACTGGTTTGGCATGTCTAAACTGTCGGAATTTTCAACTCCCCGATTTTGGAATTTCTTACTTTCAAACCTCCAGATAGTGATAATAAAAGTCAACACGAGACCTCAAATGTTTGAACGTCATTTTTTACATTTCAGAAAACTGCAAATTGAAGATCGGAAATATCTGTTATATTTTCGTGATACAAAGAGTCAACTACGACAAAGCAGTTGATATTTGCAAGGAACGTAACGCAAATGTTGGTTTGATTCGAGATGAGGAATCTCACAATGCGATTATGAAATATTTGAGTGTGAATATGCTAAAAGAAAATGAGTGGATCACTATATGGACTGGAATCCGCTTTGATCCAATGGTTTGTGTCCTATGTCTGTTCTATTTATACTCGTAAAATATAGGAATCTGTTATTAGACGGGTAAAGTATGAGCATGCCCAGATCCAATCCAACGACAGAAACTTGAAATTTAGCAAAGGGCAAAATAGACATGTCTTTGTATACATTAGTCAGTTGAAATGACTCATCTGTCCAGAAGATTGTGATGAAATTATGTGAGCCAGTTGAATTAGGAATATGCTAAATGTCTGGTCCTTAATGTTCAATACCGCGGGTTGCATCTATTAAAAGGCGGGACACTTTGGTAATCGCCGTGCTTTTAAAACGCCCATACAGAGATATATCCCATTTATAGTTTAGTTTTATAATGAATGTATAGTTTCGGAGAAGCCAATCACAATTTGCTTCACAGCATATGAGAGACGAGTGAGAGTTACAGTTGATCAAACATAACCCAATGATAATCTTCATGTCATCGTATTTATATTTTGTTCTCAGACCCGTGACGTCACACCTGCTGATTCATTCATTAAATGGGATCAAGGTATTCAATTAACTGGAATTGATTTTAAAGATCACACAAATGTTTATCTTTCTCTCAGTGCTAATTTAAAGGTGATATATCAAGGGATGGAGAATGGCCTTCCAAGAATGATAAGTCATGGGGTTCTTTGTGAGATCCTGATCTAATGAAACTTCTGCCTAGTTGTATTTTATTTCTCTGGATCTGTCATCAGTGAAAATATAAATCTTTGATTTCAATTTGAAATCCATTTCAATTATCCACTTCAATTACATTGAATTGTTGTTGAAAATTTATTGAGAGTTAGATTAACAATATCAACATTCTGAACAGTCATTCGTCTAATTATTATGTCTTTGTAAATCTACTTTGTTGAATTACGTTATTTTGGAAATTTCAAAAATAAAAATATTACGAACTTGCCTCATGAACTCGAAATAAATTTAGCGTCCATGTGATATACTTACTCTTTGTCGTTTCTACTTCTGTTTTTAAAAAAATGAGCAAGAAATAGTTTCGACATTCGATTGAGATAACTTATCACATGATATTACAGGTGAATCTGTGTCTTTTCACAATGATTAGACAATGGCCAATAATTATTTAATATTATTGGGAAAGTGTTTAATACATGGCCACGATAGGAAACTTATGGCAGGATATTGTTTGCTATCGATGAGTAAATAATTGGGGCGCCCATGCAGGATTTAGCTCGAATCCTTTGTATGAATTTCAGATCGATATACTAAGAGTCACGTATTGGAGCGCAAGACGAAAGTAAATCACTGAGATTCGTTAAACATTTTTCCACGAGTGGCCAAATTTTTGATTTATTCAAAATAGTGAGCAATCGTATCGACTCAGCAGTCAATGGTAACAATTCATACTCTCATTCTACAAGAAATGACATATTCATTGAATCGTTGTTACTAAGTATGATAATGTATTGAGTTAAACATTTAGGCCCCCCTGGGTGTGACATATTCCGGCATAGTTCCCACGTAAATTACTTTCGCGAAAGTGAGAGCGTGTCTTAGATCCGTATTAAAAGCCATTGTATGGGAATTTTTACTAATCTAATACAAACAAATTAATTTGTGCTTCAAAAAGTGAAAGTCTTGTAGGAAAGGTGGGGCACGTTAGAACATGGGGCACAGTGGAAAATCATCTCTCACATTGATACTTTATCCGCAATCCTGTCCGCGGTTCAATGTTTCAATCCGCCATTCGGTGAGTTACAATGTCCCCGCGAACGGACAACGGACGGGTAGAGCGACGCAAGCTATGAGGTGAAATTGGTTTCGGGAGGTTGACACTAAAATTTCATCCGTTCCAGTTTTTTCTTTTTTCTACTTTAGCCTGTCCAACATGACAAACCACCGTCTGATATTTTTCAGCTTTAGTCCACTGTAAAGTATTCATAACGTTGGCGAGATGATGTGCCTTCCGAATTTCGCCGCGGGATGGTCTGAAAATATTTGTTTCCTATAGGAACAATGGACCGAGGTTCAGTGGGGCATGCCCTACAGGGCACAATTCGAGAGTGTTTGATACAATAAGTCAGTGGCGGCGCGTGGTCATTTTGACAACCGGGGCAAGCTACTGCGGGACCAAGTCACCCCCATCTACGGGGACAGAATGAGCTGTAAGTTCTCCCATCATTTTATGAGTATAAAAACCATTCCATCGGTAACAACCAATCGGCAAAAGCGACAATTTTTAATGATAAGAAAATGTCTTTAAAACCGGTCCAAGTCAAGGGATTAATAAATATAGTCATAGTTTATTTTGAAACCTCTTTCAAAAGGAAAGGCAATACTTACCCAGATAAATACAATGACATATTAACAGAAACTTCGGGAAAGCAGACAAAACCTAAAATAAGGTTTAAAACGTTACTATGAAGAAAGGAAAGGTAATGCAAAGATAAGGACATGCGTCGGTCACTCATAGATATATATGCTGCTAGACTTCTACTGCTTGAACATATATGCAACACGCCGCGGTTTCTTGGAAGCAAAATGCTCAATAACGCGCTGATTAAAGTCATGCATCCCAGAAATAACGTCTCTGTGAATGGATAAAACAGCCAAGGAATTTAATCTATCTTGCTTCATTGTGTTTCTGAGATACGTTTTAATACGCTTCAGCGTGCTGAATGTTCGCTCTGCGTCGGCGGAAGAAATAGGCGTCGTCAAAATGATGTCCAGAAATTTTGCAGACGCCGCAAAGGTAGTTACTAGAGTGTTATCTATGAGGAACTCATAGAGCGCGCAAGTTGATGTGATGTTCAAAAAAGTTTGATTGGTGTATATACATCGCAATTCATTTTCCAATTTACCCACGTTTATCATAGGGTAAAATTTGGAGAGAGTAGCCAACAAATGGATGGGAAATTGACGTGCAAATTTTGAAAAATTTTTGGGGTTCATCAAAGAGAACGCGGCAAGGTGTTCAGTGCGCAGACGATCGCCTATTTGATTCACCAGAATGTCACAGCATTCCTTTGCAGACAAAAACAAACGCTGCGTTGTTTGCCCGCGGCGTAAAGAAGCACTCCATGTGTCGTCGTATTTTATTGTTTCCCGAATACGAGATACAGCATCGCAGAAGTCTGAAATACACGACTGCACAGACGCTCCATTCATTAGCCTTGACCGCAATGCGCCGTATAATACATCCACGTGATAGAATATTGTGGAGAAAAAAGCGAGAAAAAATGAAAACTCACCATCTTCTAGCAGACGCTTTAGACCTGCCGCCTCCCTCACAGAGCATTCCTCCCAAACCGGAGAGCTCTGAATGCCATTGAAACACTCAATGAGCTCAGACCTAATTTCGGACACGTCCTGCACCACGCGTGATTGGAAGTTCCAACGTGTTGGTGCACAAGCTGGGAGACGGCGGCTACATATCTGGCGAAAGAGGTCAGAGCGCTTCGGCGAAACGGAAAAAAATGAAGAAAACCCCGAAACATTTGCAAAAAATATACGGACGAGAGGGGTATCAAGACACATATTTTCAATAACGAGGTTAAATTGGTGTGCATAACAATGTAAAAAATGCGCATGAGGAAAATCTTCTTTTATATAAACTTGAACACCATGTTTCGACCCACTCATGACTGCCGCGCCGTCATAAGTTTGAGCTATCAATTTTGACTTCGCGTTGTAAGGCTGTAACACTTCTTTCAGTACAGCCGATATCCCGCAAGCCGTGCGAACAACGATTGGTACAAAGCTGTGAAATCTCTCGGTAGGTTTACCATCTTTCACAAACCGAAAAATCACAGCCAGTTGGGAGACGCACGTGATGTCAGTTGTCTCGTCAGTCTGAATCGAAAGTAACTGGCAATCCTCAATTTCCAGAGCCAAATGTTGTAAATAAATTTTATACATTGAGTCGAGCAAATCATTTTGGATATCCTTAGATGTCCCTTTCGAAACAGTTGCGGCATCAAGATGATCTCTCAATACTGTATCTAGGGATGCGGTGTATTCCACCATATCCAAAAATACCCCTCTATTAGAAGAGCCAGCCCGTTCATCGTGCCCACGGAGGGACAGCTCGTGACAACTAATGAACTTCTAAACATCTATCAATCGACCGAGAACATGGCGGTTTTTCTCGACGTTTTGGTTGTGCCGACTGTGCTGCAATATTAACATTTCCGAATGTTCGGTATTTTACTGCATTGTCCAGATGCTCCATAGAAGATTGATGATCCCTGGCACGCTCGGAAAGATGTTTAAGATTTCTAAAACCAAATGTACACCAACGAGAGTCACGGGCGGTAGCAAAAAGTAGGCAATAAAAACAAAAAAGTGCATTTTTGTCCTCGCTGTAACACAACCATTCGTGTTTTTTATACCAAGTTTCTGCGCAGAATGTACGCCGACGCTTTCCTCCGTCATGGGATTGTTCCAGTGAACAATTTTTTGGTTGACAAGGCCCAAGACGTTGTACCTCTAATTTTTGTTCCAGCGGCAGCTGCGAAAACGGAGTGCGAAGTAGTGCATCAACCATATTCATTATGAGGTCTAAGGCTAAGAAATGCGAAGCCGGAAAGAAGTGAGGAGCTCAAAAGGAATGTGGAAAATCGAAAGCAAATGGACTAAAGGTCTCTAACTGATTCAAATAGCGAAACAAGCGACAAAAAAGAAGGCGAGGAAACTATGAACTCTTCAAGCAACCAACGAACGAGAAGGAATGCGTGAATATGTCAACACGTTGTTGTAAGAAACGTCGGCATTGTGTCGTCATAATTTCGGGGCTAGCCCCGATCGGCCCCGATGATTTAGTAAAAGAAACAGAAAACAAACGCGGCGAGTGGAAGATAAAAGAGAGAATACGATATACAATGAGCAACCGGGGCAAAATCGGCGTCGCCCCGTCGACGTTCGGCGAAGGCTTTGCGAGCGAAAAATGAACCATGTCGGGAGAATATGGCTAGTGTAAACAGTCTGTGCAACCGATATTGAGGTATTTTTCGAATATTTTTTATTATACCGAAAAAAAAACCGGGGCATTGCCCCGGTTGGCCCTATTGACGCGCCGCCACTGCAATAAGCGCTTAGTGTGGGATAAGTACGCGTAGGGTACGGTACCTAATCTGTCCCACTGCGACTCCAAGATACAGGGTAACTGGAGATGCGTCCTGTCCCCTGGGTCCCCAAATAATGTCTTCAATCTATGCACCAACTGACCAACACACACTGCAACCTGTACACTAACAATCCCGTAGACTTGTGTTGAAAGAAACTTTATTATCTTGTTTAAACATATCTAATGTTGACGTCAGTGATAACAGTCTATTACAGTATTAGTGTCAGTGTTGGTGTCGGTGATAAATTGACTGTTTTTGACAAGGACTTAAAGAACAGCCATAATTATGCTAGAATACAAAATAATACAATGATCAATATAACGATGCAAATGATTACAGCAACCCTCCAAAAGCTATTCGGCTAATAAATGAATGAACCAAAAAATAATTAATAAAATATATAATCGCACATAATCCTCCCTAATACGCAAAGCGCAACAAGCGTCTACCTCGTGGCATGAAAATTTCTGGAAGGCCGTAAAACGCGGGAAAGAAGTGACTTATCACGTCACAGTAAAGATGGACAATGTAAAATCATAAAGCGTGACTAACTTAACGGTGCTTAAAGTGACTTAAGACTTAAAGTTCCATAAAATGAATGCAAACATTTCTCACATACCGGCCCCGAAAATTATATGAAATGTTATATCGATAACAAGGAAAATGATTTTCAAAAAACAAGAAAGGTTTGCTTGACTTCCAAAACAAATTGAAAGGATAAACACAGTAACAACCCAATAAAGATAACGAACTTGTCAATGCAAGAACCCAAAAAATAAAAAGGGGGGTAAAATAAATAAAAAAGTTATCTCCCTCAAAAATA